AACATCAAGACACTCCTTACATTGTATGTCAGAAAGGTCCCCAGTACATTGAGCTGCACCGTAAACTAAGCGTGTATTTAAGACTTCAAGCTGTAAATTCCCATAATACAACAATTTACTAGTATATATGCTTTTAGACATACGTAGGTTAAAAGCTCCTGAACTTTCTTATTAAACAAGAAGGGGAGCATCAACAAATTTTTTATTCATCACAATAATTGAGCTAGTCAAGTCAATCTTACCCAGAAAAGGTGTATTTGAGTATTTCAAGAGGCAGTTATCATACTAAATTATAGCTCCTAGCTTTTGTGAACATAACTTGAGAATCTTCCGTCTTGCTTCATGGATACAAACTCTGCAAGTTGATCGGGAAAGTGCACTCCAACATTGTGCGAGCCCATATACAACATTTTTTTGTACTCCAAATTTTCCAGTGGTAACATTTCGATATCTTGGACTAGTTAATGTTGTTTTATTTAATTTTGTGAGTAGCAAGTTCAAGTTAACCTCGAAACCCCCTTTGGCTGGAAATTGAAGCTCATTTAACATTTATACCCCATAATAATGGAAAAGATAAAAGACTTAGTGGTACTTTTGGCCAAAACATGTTTTTAGAAAAGTTTGAGTTATGAGCATGCTTCTTACCCAAAAGTTTCATACTGTGTGTGTAACAAAAAAATTCTTTTTTTGAATCTTTGTTCCATTGTTTGAAAATAAGACAGTAATATATAAGTAATATCTTTTATTTCTCTCACTGCTCTTTATGTTTAGAGCTTCCACATTCGTGGATGGAAGCTTTGCAATAGTCTTTAAAGGATGTTGGGCAATTGGTTGGATATTCACATTCTAATATGGTATCAGAGTCAATTATTCATTTGGCAAGCCAACTGTCCCACATTCTCCCACTAAAGTGCAATAGACTCCACATGTGAGGGGCGTGTTGAGATTTTTCACATTGGATTGGAGGATATAGAAACTTTGCAAAATCACTTAGGCCCTCTCCACTAATTGCCAACGCACATTCTAATACTCTTTCCTTACCCTTCCTTTCACCTTTCACCTTTCACCTTTCAGTTTTACAACAATTCCAAAAGCCAAATGTCTAAAATGATAGCTATGGATGTTAGCCTAAATGGAGAAAGAAGAGGCAACTTGACTTGCTAAGCAAATACGCTACAAAAGTATATGAATAACTTAAATATTCCAGAACAAAACAAAAAAAAAAACTTAAATATAAGAAATTTATTCACGGTAATAACAAGTGCTAAAGTAAAGGAATAAAATAAAGGTGGCTTTTCTTTGGGCTTTCTGCCAGGCCTTGTATTAATTTTGTTGGGCTATTGTTTTAGCTCTCTCCTGTATTTCTTAATGAAACATGTTTCTGACAAAAATAAATAAAAGTCAACGGGCCGTTTGGTTCAAAGTTTAAAAGCATGAGAATGGGTGCACTCTTTAGAATGTAATAACTGATCCATAGGAATGAACTGCTTATATAGGGGAAATTTCACACCATTTACCCTCTTTGAAAATCTTTTTACCCCCACTTGGGAAAGCATATTTATTACAATTGTTTTTAGACTAACTTATCCTTATTCTAATTTTAAATATCACCTTTCATTATACTTTTTAAATAAGGATGCTGCTATATGTACCACCTTTATTGACCACCTCTCTAATATATGTGGGTCTCACATACACTGGTGGGGCCCGCCTTTATTAGAGAGGTAGTCATCAAAGTGGTACAAATAGCAGTATTGAAAAATAAAAAATAAAGGGTACTATTAGAAAACTCAACAACTTTCCATTCCCAATGTTGCACAAACCAAACATGGGGAATAAGAGAAAGTGGTCATTCTTGGTCCTTATTTCTTAGCGTTACCAAACACGGGAATGGTGTCCATTCCCACGGGACTAGAAGTTAAGGTGCAAGACTTTTCAAATGGAACCCTCTCCTAAACCTTGCTCGAATCATTTAGGTACTGCTGTTCTCTAGCTGATAAGGATCCTCGTGGAACATCAAGGATTCCAGGCAGAGCAACTACGCCCTTGGTTGCATATATCATGATTCACTAGGAATAAGAATCACCTTAGCTCACTCGAATGAGTGATGCTTAAGTCAATGCTTCTTCGTGTGTGATTGAACATGTAGGCCTATATTGTCGAAATTACCTCTATGAATTTCTAGCATGAAATCAGCAAGACAAACTCATGATACCTGATGAAATCAAGATAACCAGGTCATCAATTAACACTTGATAAAATCTCAAAATGATCTTAAACATATGCGGGTGATCCTAAATCTAAATCCAAGAGATTCACTTCTGATCATCATCTTCAAAACCAAATGCATAACCATGTATGCATGGACAAAGCGAATCCATTTATGCCTAGTAGGGTTGATTGCCTTGGCCCCACTTGGATTGGAATATTGTTTGTGGTTTGTTTTTATGTAAGTACTGACTCTAAGTAAATAGATTAGCCCAAGCCCTCCTTTTTGTTTTGTTACCGCAGATTTTGGCCTTACTTCACTTGTTTAGTAGAAAGAAAATTAGCTGCAATAGAGGGATAAAATGCCCGAAACCAAAAAAGAAAGAAAGAAAGACAAAGGATGCCAAGAGGTTTGTAGAATTGTTGTTTACTTTTCTCTATTAGTCTCATTTACATATGTATATATATTTCTAATTCCTTCGATTTTTAGACCATGTATGTATAGAAAATTAGTTTTATATTATTTTAGTAGATTTTAGTTTGTAAGGATTGAAATATGCGAAATTCTATAGTGGGGGTGCTATATGTATATATATGGACTTCTCATGTGGATCTTCATATTAGTCACATGATCATTTCATTTTGAATGGCTGGGTGATTGGTTGGATCTATTCTAATACCCATAGTATGTTTTTGACTCTGTACGAAGAACTATGATGCTTTTTCCAAATCATAGGAGGACTTGACAGTAGGTACGTAGTGATGGGATGTTGTTTTAAGGGTTTTGTGGTTGGGGTTTAGGTTGGTTTGTTTCCTATAAGTTGTTTGACTCTTCTGTTTAGTCAATAGCATGGGTGGTACTCTTTCCTATCCCGGATTTTGTTTCTTTGGGAAGGTTTTAACAAGCCCGCCGTTAACATGCTAGTTATTACCATGTAATGTTCCTTTCGGTTGAATAAAATACCATATTTTCTATAAAAAAAAATATATAAAAAAGGCTGGAATAAATAAATTCATAAGCTCCTATATTTTTAAATTTTCCAACACATTCAACCATCCTAGACCATCAAAATTCCAAAACAAACCAAATTCTATTTCAGTGTAGATGCAATGTAATGGCAAAACAATGCACTGCTTGATCAATTATAGTTACTTTTTACAATTTTGTTTTTACTAATACATATAATTATACACTACAAGTTGTTCAATTAATGACACTATAGGTAAATAAATCTTCTAGCCTTTTAGTATTTTAACTAAGGATACATAAAGCCAACATGGTCTAGTCTAATGGAAAAATGCCTTGACTTGCAGACTAGAGATCTTAGATTCGAACCCTCATGGCATCTTGATTGTGTGTGTGAGAAACCCCATCCCTTGTAATTTAGAATTTAACTTGTACTAAGACAAAAAAAAACAAACAAACAAACAAACAAAAGGATATAAACAAAGCCAAAATTGTTGTCTACATGCCTCTAATCAAATCAAAGTATAGTGAGATAATGCACATTATTAGCTCTCTATTAAGCCTTGCCAATCACAAATATACAGTAATGAAGTATTACAAAGTTCATGAAAAAGGCTTTCATAAAATACAACTCAGTTTTAGTTCTAAACAATTAATCACAACTGAGTTTCTAACCCGTAAAAAAAAATAGTTAATTTCAGTTTGGTATCCTGAATTTTTCACTAAATAACATGGTAGCATGGTAATATTGGTCTTTTCAGTTCAAACACTTTACTTTTCAAAATTGTGATAATGTAGTTTTGTCATCATAAAAGTCCAACCAAGTCAGACCCCCCAAAAAAAAGTCCAACTAACTAATGAATATGAAGCCTGATACACTACGGGAAGCATCAACTTATGTCGGTGTGTGCAAGTGTGTATCTAATAGAGAGATTCCTGCATATGACTGATAACAGTGCAAACAAATTATGCAGAGAACCCATCACATTACCATTCAACCAATTCACTCTTTCTCAATTTTCCCATTATCTCTACACCCTTTAGGCCAATGGCCTAGAACTAGCCCCCTCTTCTCTAGCAGTGATTTGGTTGGAACATGGAACAATAAACAAACTACTTTAAAAAAAAAAACATAAGGGCAAAAGTACAACCTAAATT